TGTCCGAATGTTTATTAAAGCATTATAACAATATAAACGGTTTCAGTGGGAGAATCAACGGTACGTCGAGTGAAATGTGACTTTTACGGAAACACGATGGAAATTTCTGCTCGTATGAAAACTTCCAAGCGAAAACAAAAAAGTTTGCATGCACTAATTGCAAGCGAGACCGACAAAGAAGTTACTGCAACTTATAAAATTCAAAATATAATTTTATGCTGTTTGTCGTTTCAATGTTTCATTTTAATGTATGTTTTTTTTCGCGTTTCACGACAACGGTTGCTGTTGCATAATCATTATTTTTCCCTCGATTTCCGTGTTTCTGTACGGCAGAGAAAGGAATGAAATTACGCTGGGGGCGTTCGCGGTTTCAATTTCAAAAAGTTGCTCAACGCTGAATTTCATCGAATTTTTTTTTTTGTCCGACGTTTCATTTCCTTGGCACAAATAGTAGCCACCTGCCGCTTTTAATAGACAAAACATTTTCTAGCAGTGGTGCGTTAAATGTCACGTTTCAAGATTAGTATTTATCGGAGCACACGGAACAGCTTAACTGTACCTTTTTTAAGTAAAAAGAGAAAACGATATAAATATTGATAATTTCAAGCAACAAATAGATGAAAATGAGAAATAATATGCACACTTTATTTAGAATATAAAAAGAATTAAAATTTAACTGCTCTGCATATTTCAGTAAATATTTGTTTCGCCAGTGGTATCGAATGTAGCAACACATTTATTGAAATTAAGTGTTGTATTGTTCGAGATGCGAATTATTTGAATTCGCGCGGCTGTATTTCGATCAGTTGCGTGAAAACGCGCTCATATTTGCGAACGAATTCATTTGCAGTTTATTTTCCGGGTATTGTAACGACGGAGAAGTGGAAAATATCGTTGAAAGAATAACGCGGTAATGCGGCTCGAATAAAATTACGTTCCTCCGTTCGCGGTGAACTTTTGAAACCCGGAGAAGCCACGTATTGCTTTCCCAGGCATTTCTTTCCTCTGCAAATGCACTTTTCACCTAATAACTTCGGTATGGATCGTAGGGACGGGGAGTTCCACGCTCTTCCGTTTGCTGATATTACTAAAAGCTATCGTCAACTACTGGCGTCTAGCGAATCGCTGTTTGTGCTGCACCGATTTCCGAACGTATTACAATCGCCCAAAAAATTAATTAATTCTCCACGTATAGAACGTTAAAAAAAAATTTATAATACTCAGGCAGAATCTCTGGAGCGAATTTGAATCGAGCGAAAAATATACAATTGTATATAATAGAATCAATTTCGAATATTTTCACCGACTGTTATAGTATTCCTAGCAACTAAAACAGCGGGATGACAATTTCGATGCGAGATACCGGTGGTGAATTATTAGCATATAAATAGGTATTAGAAATGCGTGTATGGCCCGCCATGCTACCGTAGATGCTTGTTTCTCGTATTACGTGTATTTCGTGGAAGGTTAGTGCTACCCCCGGGGCACAATCTCACCCCATCAGCTAGCTAAGTTAACGTAGAGTTTACGGTAGTTATTATTCACAGACGGTTCACCGTACATCGGTCAGCTTTAGAGACAGCAAAGTGTAGCCAGGTGTAAAATGGAGGTTTCTGATGCATTGCAAAATATGCACCTTGCTCATTGCGCCTTTGTGTACTCCCGGCCCTTAGTGATGAATAATAACACGACTAAATTAATTCCTTACAACATTTTATCTACAATTTTATCTGTCCGGTTGTCTCGACTCACCCTGCATATTTTTACAGTATTAGTAACACGTTTGCATTAATCCTCTAACGAACTGACATTTATGCAAGCGACTCGTAATTTTCGCGACAACTTCTGGGTAGTCGACGCGTTAAAGGGCCAATTTCTTTCTCTTGAATCGTCACTCAGGATCATAATACGCAATGATGACGACAGAATCTTTTCGTTGATTTTCGCCCCCTCGAAGCAGATTTTTTTATTCTCCTCGCGAACGATGTTCCTTCATTCGAAAGAATGGCGTATTAAGAGCAGCGCGTAAGCAAGACGCGAGCCGACGGTACGGATTGCATTTGACAGTCTGTCATAGAACTCGCTGCGCATTTCCTTCCCGAAAGGAAGGTCGTATTTCCTTTCGCGAATAGGGTGGGGGGAATACGAGCACCCTCGTGCCTCCAAGAAGCTCTTTTCCACGAGGATGGTCCTCCCGGCGAGTCGCCTCGGCAAGCAATCTCACGAAATTGCACCGCGCGATTTCACGTCGTTTCGCAGACGTTACTATTCGCGTTCCCGCCGTTCCCTATTCCGAATCCTTCGAGTTTCATTTGCACGACGGCCAGGGGCAGGGGGGAGAGGATGCGAAGGAGGCGAAACAGAATAACAATCGGAACATGATCCCGTCCCGAGGAGAGCTTAACGAGCGAAGGAGGAAAAGTGATTCGGGTTAATCTCCGCGCACAACCGTTACCGTCGCTGACTAATGATTTCGATGCATTAAACAACGACAATCTTGGATCGAAGATGGACTTTATCTTGAACGGTCCGAGTCACGATAGCGCCGTACTAATGGAAATAGGAACGAACCAGGGGCGAAGTTAATTAATAAAAGAACAAGGAACCAATACTTGCATCGTAACTTAGGCTAAATTAAACGCGTTTATTTCATAAACAATTTGGAGGAAATTAAAAAATACAGTTTCACCTTGCAGACTGAATAATTTACGTCGAATATTAGAGTCGTGCGTGCACACCAGGTGATCGTATCGAACTATCGTTGATTCAACCAACGAATCTGGCATTTACTTATTTTTCCGACGACAGAGATAGCGAGATTGCTAACATTTAGCCCTTTGTTTCCTCCGTTCTCATCTGTTTCGTGAAAAAAGTAGGCCCAGTGGGGATTAAAACGAAGCGTGAGCGACGAGTGGGGTAGATCGGGGGCCCTGTGTGTCATTCAGTGGTTTTCCTCGTTCGTATGCATCCTCGGTGCACTCTTGCCCGGCTGTCACTCACACGAACAGAATTTTATGTAACGTTACGTGCACCAAGGATAGCGCGTGTACGGCCACACGACGTAGAAACGCGACGAACGTTGATTTTTACGGGAAACGAAATCGTCCGCACGGCTCTGCGCGTCGTTTGATCGAATGTAACGAACATTATTACCGGTTCGATGGAACGCATCGAATTTTTACATCGTTAATATTTACGAACGTTGCTTCGATACACCGTCGATTCGCCAATAATAGAATTTCGCGAACGATTGGCACGAGTTTCGCCTCGCGCCGGGCATGAATCACATTTTAATTTAAAACGCGGGCGAAATTATTGACACGGGATTTGAACGAACAGATTCGTTGAAGTCGATACAATCGGTGTCAGCGTTCTCGTTATTCGGAGTAATTTGTGAATTTCTACTTTTTTTGTTTTAACTCAATGAAGCATACGTGGTTGTTATTTTCAGGGTTTCGCGTATACGTTGAATGACACCTGAGAAATTAATAGAAGGTTTTTAAATTATGTACATCACGAGTACGGGTATCTATGTACGTTAATCGAGAATTTTTATTTCCCTTTCTCTTCATCCTGTAAATTAAAATGATAATGTTCTAAAATTGATGCACTTGAAACATTCCTAATTAATAATCCATTATAGTTCTGTACATTATTCCATACGCATATTTCGATGCACCGTACAGACGAGTGCATTAGCAAACAGTTGTAATTAATAACAATCAATATTACTCGTCAATATTAAGTCACGATTGATGGATATAGGAATCGCTTACTCAGGAATTAATTTCAAATTATATGTTACGACTGCAATCTGATTGTTGTAATTAATGTCCGTTGAATTTAGTAATTCATAGTTAATGTAGCAGTCATTAAAACAGCGAGTTCAGAACCAACAGACTCGTTTTAAAGTCAAAGTATTGAATTTTCGATCATCTTACTTTATAACTTGTATCCAGAACGAGCTAAGAAATCGAGTTATGTAAAAAAACATACAGTTCGAATGAAACAAAGTGCAACTGCATGGACGAACTTAATACAAAAGTCGTATCACGTGACAGTAGATGTCATTAAGCCGTACCAAACTTTTCACGACGATTTTTTTCTACCTTCGTTTAGAACCAGCGCTGTGGTCCGGCCCAGTTACTAGAATCACCTTATATAATAGTAAAACTTTACTGATGTGACTTCCAGTACGTGACTTCAGGTACAAGAAGCGCATGTCCATGACGTTCACGTTCATAAAACAACTATAACTGCTCGTATCTCAGAGACGACGAAATTTGAAAGAGCAAAACGTGAAAGGACTCTTTTATTTTTTACTGAAACGACGAATTAATCATGGGAAAAATGTCACTTAAAAAAAAGGAACGATCGAGGCAGAGAAACAATAGCGATTTTTCACTTTTAGTTCTCTGTCAGGTTAGACTCGAGATTTATACAATCTCGCAAGACATCGATGCGAGTAAAATCGTAAACTATAGAGCAATATCCAGGTCTTGCGTTAATGGTGATGTACGACACGCAATTTCGCGGTTATAAATTACGAGCAAACGTCTCGGCGATAACGTCGTCTGTTCGATACTTTCGGGAGCAAATATCAGCGGGCAAACACGACGATCCGGCTCTCGCGAAAACTATGGTCGTAAAATTATACTCAGCCCCTCTCTCCTTGGAGCGATTTCGTGGTTGGCTGCTCTCTGATGATATATATCAAACGAAGAGAGAAAGGGGTGCGTTCACCTATTTCAACTTCCCACCGGGAGAGCTCGAAGAAGCAGGAGCAAGCTGGGGAAGGGTTCGTTGAAAAGTTGTTTGGCCAAAAGTACGGGAAACTCGGTCGTGGGCATCGATCGGGCCTCTAACGAGCTCTTGGTAACTAGTTTGGAGCTGGATCGTTGCTACGGACACCCTATTTGAATTTGGTCTTTGTGCCGCAAAACCTAACGGCGGCAGTCGCTGACAGTGGAAGCATTATACACACTTATGGAAAAACTTACCCGCACCTTCGGCATCTCCTTCAGGCCGATGGCTGGCTGGCTTCTGTTGCTCTGTAACAATAACGGAGAACACCACGGTCAGTAATTAATTAATACATTTCGAGAAAATTAACTTCATTTTAAATCTTATTTATTCAAACTAGCTATTCGCGAATTAAATTTTTTCTCATCCATAAAAATTATATTTTTCTATTTTTCCCCCACTGAATATATGGGGTTGCAAATTCCTGAAACAAGCCTCCTTTCATGTCGACTGGTAAAAGGTAGTTTCTTGGAACATACATACGTTGAACACTTCTATTTGTAGCGCAATATTTTCTGGGACACCTTAACGTTAACGTGCAATACGAGTACGGTGTAACTTCGATCGTTCGAGCTGTAAAGTGTCTAGGAAGGTAATAATTTTTCGGGGAAGTAGTGTCTGCTAAATATAGGATAATGGAATTAATTTAATCATTTATGCATTGGAAAATAATTCCAAATTTTTGTTTTTTATTATTGATGACTGTCGAAAGAAGAAGACTTTGTTATTAAAGATGATATAATATGAATATTTCGCAACATACTTCCGGGCAAAGAAATATTGACGTAAAATCAAAGATTTAGTTCCCGGGAAGCGGAGAATTATTCTGAAACGTGCGGTTGATAGGTTCGGTTATAAAAGTTCAATGTCGTAGAGGAGGGTTACGTCGAGGGAGAAGAAGACGTGACATAAAATCTTCCGTGGGATTTTCTCGAGATTAGTATCGTCGATCTATGGCGGTGGACTGATTTTACGACGAAGTAAAATCGTTTTCGTTTACAGTTCATTTTAACAAATTGTGCCACGATGTCTTGAAACCGCTATAAAAGGATCACCTTCGAGAAAACTCGGGTGAATATTTTTATTACATTATATAATATTATTACATTCAGTCTGATGATAAAGAAACAGTCATTAGAAACTGTTTTCCTAGTTTTGTATCTGTAATCGAGTGTTCTACTGTTTCAAACTACCAAATGGAGAACGTATGAGGTATTCGGAGCGTTAATCATCGGAGTGTGAACAATTTGTCGCGTATGCCTGTTAAAAAAATGCGTTGCTATCGCATCCTTTTATGGCGTTCAGAATGTTGTGTTCCGATAGCGAATAAATCCGCTCCAGAAAAGCAACGTGTCGTTCTGCGCGGTATCGCCGGGCGTAGGAACAAACGATAAAACGATAAATTCAGGAAACTGTCGAACCGTACAGTATCGTCGTGTCGGGCCGTCATTGCTGGAAACACGTAAATCTTAATTGGCCAAGTGCAGCGGTGTGCAGCCAGTAGCGTTAACCAACAACTACGAAAAATTGAATGCGCGAACTTGTTTCTGTCTCATGGCGAAGCAACGCCTAAGCATAGCCGAAAATCGATTCACAATTCCATTCTACCGTAGGCGTAAAACTTTATTTGTTAATCGTCGAAGAACGCCATAAATTCGACGTCACAAGATTTATCAATAAATTTTAGGGCTGCGTAATGATTGGATCGTGACGCCAGATTTGAAATTTAATTAGTAACTGTACTATTATCGCGGAGAATATCGATTTTGACTACGAAGACTAGCAGCCAGATTGGTATATTTCCGAGTAGTTGGAAATCAGCAAGAGCACTAGATTGAGAAACAACGAGCGTAGTGCTACGGTGATAATTACGCGGTTTATCTCGATTAATTTCGGATAATTGCATCAGGTAATTAGTCCAATTACTCCGATGGTTAGCGCGAGTAGCACTAGTCCTTCTCGACACATTCCCATTGTCCGAATTGACGCAAACTCGACCGCAACAACTGCTATCTTCGAAGCTCGGCACAGTGGTTCCGATTTCTAGCCATAGAATTAAATTATTTTATGCAAATTTCATTATACTTCCCAATTACTACGAGCGTATAGTACTGATCGTGTAAACACGTAATTATGGAAATCGAGCGATTAAAACCGGAATAAAACTTTTCTAAATAGATCTTAGCACGGTGAAATCACTACTAAATAATTCCCTGACGGTTGCGTGCAACCTGACACTCGCCATAAATTGGGGCATTAAATTCGATCTCGATTCTCGGTTACGATCCATTGACTATGAACTTGACCGATCCAATGATGCTTTATAGGGACCAATTCATTCGTTTCCAACTCGTAAAATAACTCTGCAACGGCGTCGTTTCGTCCAATAGAAACTCATTCAAAACGAATCCCGCGAAGATTCACGCAATCCCGTCGGGGAACGAGGACTGGTAAAAAGTTCTCACGGAGAAACAAAACGCGTAATTTTGTGGCGCCGTTCCTAGAGTTATAACCGATCCGGAAGTTTAATCAAACTTCGTTGTTTCTTGCGCCTCCGACGCTGCCACGGAATTTGGCAACGACGGTGCTCGTTGTCGCTGTATTTGTAATCGGCTGGACTTTTCTATCGAGTTGTCTCGGTGCTCAGCCAAACGGTAATATTCGAGAGTGGCTCGACCCAGTTTCGATAATTGCGCGCCGGTCCGGTTCCTTTAAGTTGCTCGATTCTTCGGCTGTTTTGCCGTTTTTCTCTCACCCGTTCCCTTCGATTTTTTTTTTATTGGCCGCTTAATCGTCCGAATCCGGGTCGCATCCAAAAGCTTCGTCCGTGAAGGTTGGCGCAAACAATTAAAGGAGGAACTCGGAGGGAAAGAAAGACGCGGTCGAAAATACGACGGCGCGTCCGTCGGTTCGTTTCTTCCTGTTAAAAACTTTTTCTTCGCCCGGGCGTTTCGTTCGTAGCTAGTTTCGACGCTGCTACGGGCAATTTTCCGAATTTATTGCTTCGCGATTCGCGTCAAGTTATAACGAGATTGAGCGACATCGTTGACGCGAAAACGCCGTACCGTTTGTTTGTTTCTTTTTTTTTTTTTATCAATTCAACCCGGAGAAAAGTTTGGAGCCCCGTCTCTGATTTCAGTCCGTAGAAACAGATTTGTTACGTAGACACGCGTAAAGAACGGAGCTCCGGCTATGGTCGTTTTTAACTATTTTGAAACGTGTTTCTCCGCCTCGCAGCGGGGTGAAACGAGACAACGGCGTCCGGCGATCCTGTTTAAAAATGTTTCTCTTTTCGAGACGATCCGTGGATAAAGAACGCACGGAGAACAACTTTAGAAAATAATAAACGACACGGTCTATTTCGTTCTCGGGAAATAAATTTTTTAAAACGCGAAAATGTCAGAGCAGCTGGCTGCGTCGGGGAAATTTTAAACTCTCCTGGATGTCGGTTTAAAAAGTCCGTTAATGGATTTTAATTTACGAATGAAACGTAAGCGGAAGTTAATTTACGAACGAACGTGAAATTTTTATTTGTCGTTCGCGAGTAGAAATTTGTTCGACTTCAACCGAAACCTGTTTTCCTTTTATTGTATTATTTTCTCTCTTTGCGTTAAAATTTTCTGTCCTTTGCCCCATCGATTCTATAAACTGCCGCATAATATTTCGATGGTCCGCAATTGGATAACGATCATTATGGAGTATCGCTTTCCTCAGAAAGAAGAAGCGAAACTTTAGCTGGTGGTTCGTAACATTAATCATTAAAGTTTATCGTAATCGTGATCACTCGAGCATTGAAATTACGTAAGTAAAAGATTTTTCATGGGAGAACGGTTCTTCAGTAGGGCATTCATTAACGATCTCAAAAGCCGTGAAGTCTGAGGACGAGGAACCTTTCATTCCACGCCTTTGGATAAACTTCCATTACGATCTCACGAGCAAGGGGATAGTAAGAACTGAGAGTTTAGTTGGATGAGAATCTTTCGTCGACTGAAGACCACTCATTAGTCAGAATTGGTAACGTTAATTCTGGGTTGAGGCAACGCGAGGAGACGGGGGATTGAATACAAATCAATTTACCGGAATGAAACGTGGCACGAGTGTGGAGGATATCAGGTGGATGTGAAAAATCCATTGGTGGATCACGTACAAAGGAAATGAGAATTCCACGTAGCCGAGGAGGCCGCCGGCTACCTTCTGCGACGTGCTACTCCGATAATTATATAGTCACCGCCGGCGCTTTGTGCAATCGAGAGTCGAGAACGAGAGTAATATTTAATTCTGATTAAAAGTAGTTGGGGTCGTACGAATCGAACATTAACGCGGTTCGAGGGTCGCTGAGGCAAATTGCGGACACGTTCGAGTTTTTCTGGATCTCATTACTGGTGCGAACGTTTTCACTCTATTTCAATCTCGGGCTTCGAACTGTTGCATTAAATGCTCGGGGAGAAAGCGCTGCTTGGAAAAATCGCCTGCTAGAATTTTTTACCCTTTCAAATGCCGCGTGCATTACAATGTAAATGAAATTCATCACGTTAAACCGTTCGCTGCATCTTCTTGTTTGCTTGCGTAAAATCTGTTTACCTTGCGACCTATAAGAAAAGAAAGTATTGAAATCGAGACAACGCGTCTTATGATCTTCTGATTTTTTTTTAATTCGAATAATTATTATTTTTTAATTCGAATCCTTCAAAAATGAAACTACACCCTCGTTAATATGGAACTTTTTCGATGGTAATTGGCAGAAAATTTAATACTGGTTCTATTCATTACATCATAATTAGCTAATAAAATTTTCTCATTATACGAGTAGTCACCATGAATTAGATTAAAAGCGCGTCATTGGATTCTTCGTATCGGAAATTCATTATGATGCGGATAATAATTATAACGACATGAGCGTGTAAACCGTAATGAATTAATTATTATTATTATCATTGAATCACCAATTTTACATTTAATTCGTTAGCACTTTCATTCCAATAATAGATTAACGTCGTTTGTTGCATTTATTAGTATCAAATTACAATTGAAAGCAGTAGGCAAAAGGTAAATTTCATCAGAGATTAGAATAATAAACGAGTTATTTAATAATAGCTTTCGCTGCTTGAATACAAAGATTGAAATCGAGCTGCTACCTACAGAATCAAATGTTTTGACACAGTTAAAAGTGAACAAAACAATAGAAAATAAAGATTTACAATACAGATTTTATTTGATCCTCTTTCCTGTCAGGTATATTGTGCATCAA